CCTCCATCCCCTCTCCAGCTCAGGCCCTCACCGGTGATTTTTACCCTCGACCCTGTCCTCCCCAGGGTTGCCTGAAGCAACTGTCATCCCCAGCAGCTCTCGATTCTCCTGACTCAGGGCAGTCTTTAAATAGAAGGCAGCAAAGTCACAGTGCTGAGTTGCTGCCGTCCTACCCCAGGTCCTAGCACCAACCGGGTGCCAGGACACGTGGTAAAACGCGACAGCCATCTCCCTGTCCAGCCCGCTCGCCACCTTGGCCTGCTCACCAGCCTCTCACCACCGCGGCCTGCCCGCTGCTGCTGCTGCTGAGGCATTTCACAACAGAGATGGGGCAGACGGGCAGCGGCAGGGAGGAAGGGCCTGGAGCCCTGGCAGACCTTCCCATAACACCTCTAGCAAATCTGGGGTGCGTGGCACAGATGAAGCAGAAGGGCAGTTTTCTTGTGGCCTCCAAAAAAGGTGCATTTAACACAGTCAAAAGCAAGTTCCATACCTGAGCACACCAGGTGACCCAAAGTACCTCAACTTTGAGTGAAATAGGTCAAACACAATTACTAGTAGATAATTCTAGGACACTCTGCTTTAATAATTAATGCTGTACTAAAAGGGGTATCAGATGCACTGTAGATTTTAACAACACACAGACAATATATTTTAACCCCCAATTTTGTCAATATGTTAAATCACAAGACATTTCAAATTTCCTCTTCAAGTGGACTTGAACTAATTTTCATTCAAAGCAAAGACAAACTACATTACAGTGAATGGTTTAGGTTAAACCATGTTCACCCTTTATTGTTCTGTATTTCACACGAAATATAGTGCTTTTCACAGAAGAAATGGAAATATTTCCAACCTGAGCAAGCCAAAGTAGTGTGGTTTTTTTAAATTATTTTTTAGAAGAGGGGTAGAAATACCAAAACTGATTCTAAATAAAGACCTCCCAAGTTATTTCAGGTATAAAACATTGTATACCCAGTATAATTCTAATCCTCCCCTTTTTATTTTTTGTTCTTCAAATAGCCAATTATAAATCAATCTGTGAACTCTTCCTTGATTTATAGGTACAGAAACAGCCAGTCTGGTACTTCTGAGGGGAAGTGAAAGCCTGGGACAGATAACCCAGGAGAAATGATCCAAGCTGGCCAATAACGATGCATTCTGTCCCATTAAACATCACACTCACTATAAATCGAGGAGTTTGCAGGGGATGATCCCTTCGACCCTTCCTTTCTTCAGTCCCCTCTCTTTGATCCCATCCCTTCTACTTTGTGATAGTTGCCCATCTCGGTTCCTGAGCCTTACCCCTTCCTTGTCCCTTTTTTGCTGGCATATGGCCAGTGACTGCTGTTTGTAAGGTGATTGCTTTATTATAATTGTTCCTGTTGTTGTTGTTGTTATTGTTGTTGTTACTATTATTATTTTTTCAGTTTGGTAGTCTTTATCTCAACTGGCAAGTTCTTTACTTTTACCCTCTCCCATCCCATTAGGGAGGAGGGAGTGGGGAGGGAGGTGAGTAAGCAAACTGCACGGTGTTTTAGCTTCTTGCCAGGTTAAACCACAAGTCTCCCAGAAAAAATACTCCTGCTAGGGTGTACACCAAGGGATGGGTATGTGGAGGCTTTTATTTTGAAGTTGGGGAGAAGGGAGAACTTCATGCTAAGACTAAGATTTATGATAGCTATTAGTGGATTTCTTACCTTGGATATCTACCCAGAGTAGATGAAAATCCCAGTCATTAGATCCCTGAACCACTTCAGACTATGCAGAACTGAATCCAGAGTTAGTTACAGTTCAGCTCCTACTCACTCCTGCCCAAACCATTTACTTTGTGGTGTTTTACTTGAAGTTTTCTGATGAAAGCTGCAGCCCACCATTTAACAGAGATCATTATGTTCACTCACCATCATTCCAGTTGTCTGGCACTTACACAGAAAATGGTGCTGCTTGGTTGCCTTGACAGGAGAATAATATAACGTGACATGTGGTGAAATCTGTTTTCCAAAACTATCAGATTATTTTTTAATATGTGAGAGCACTGCTACTTTCTGTGCTCTTGCCAGGTTACCCACTAGCTTCTTTTGCCTCAAGCTAAACCAAGTTACACCACTTTTCTTAGCTAACACAGTAAGTTTCCAGGGAGTTTTCTGTTGTTAGAGAGAGCTTATCCCAAACAGCTAGGGAAATCTACCATTTACTCTTTATATTTGATTATAAATGTAGCTTATGAGAAGTACATAAACTTGAGGAAAAAAAAAAGGCAAAAGGATTATTTTAAAAGACACAGGCCATTATTCTTACAGATCCTGACTTGTATTAAAAAGATCACCCAGTTGGAGGGTCAACTTTTATGGAGTCACACAATTTTTCCAATTGTATTTTAAAGCAGTTAGGAAGAAGTGGTTTCAAACATAAAGCAGTAATTTAAGGTGTGATATATATTGATATATATATATATATCTTAGATCATGCAATGCCAACTTGAAAGAGGCAGACATGCATAAAGTTTTGAGCCTTACATCCAGCTCACTTGAAATACATTTTTGCCAAGTTTGAATGTGTATGTCCCTTCTTAGTTATCCTACACTGGGAAAGTTTTACATTTTCTAGACAGAGAGAGCCAGAAACTTTTTTAAAAAATAGCAACACTTCCTTTCCCCAAAATCATAGGGATTGTAGAGTATCTTTGAATCCAGGCATCATCCTGCAATAAAAACTTGTGCTTCCATTTTACATAAAGCAGGTCACAGTGAATGTTTCACTGAGACCAAGTCTACCATATGATAAAGAGGGAGAGCACTGAGGGGGAACGTACACATGGAGACACAACATTTTAGTGGATTGCTAGATTAAAATCAACGCTGTTTAAAATGCAGAAGGAACCTGTTTTAAGAAGCAAGACAAAAGTCTTACATAGAACAGATCATAATGAAGTCTGTAGTAAGTAACCTCACAGCAGGCATATAATTTACAGTTACTAGAACTTCTAAATTGTAAAACTTGAAATTAATTAGAACTTAAAAGTTTGCACAAGAGGAGATAATGCTTGTTATTTTACATAGTTATAAGTGTTATAAGTCATGTTAGCAATGGCAATAGATGAATGACGGAATCACAGAATGGTAGGAGTTGGAAGGGATCTCAAACGATCATCCAGTCCAACCCCCTGCCAGAGCAGGATCACCCAGAGAAGATCACAAAGGAACACATCCAGGAGGGGTTTGAATGTCTCCAGAGAAGGAGACTCCACAACCTCTCTGGGCAGCCTGATCCAGTGCTCTGTCACCCTCACAGTGAAAAAGATTTTCCTTATGCTCAGGTTGAACCTCCTGTGTTCCAGTTTGTGACCACTGCCCCTTATCCTGTCACTGGGCACAACCGAGAAGAATCTGATTCCATTCTCCTGACACCTGCCCTTCAGATATTTCTAAGCATTAACAGATTCTCCTCAGTCTCCTCTTCTCTAGGCTAAACAGACCCAGCTCTCTCAGCCTTTCCTCATCATTTTCATGGCTCTATGCTGGACTCTTTCTAGTAGTTCTTTGTCCTTCTTGAACTTGGGAGCCCAGAATTGGACACAGTATTCCAGGTGTGGCCTCTCCGGGGCAGAGCAGAGAAACTTTTACTTGTACACAGACACAGTGCAGAATAGCCAGATAGAAGTTTATTATTTGCAGCAAGGGCCTTACAGTTATAGGGGATCTCCTCTTCTACTTAGTTATAGGAAATATTTTAAATACGCAGTATAAAATAAACTAGAAAAATAAGCTGTATCTTCCATACATAAGTGCTATTCCACTGAACACCATAAAAATATTAAAATTTAAAGATTAAAACATTAATTTGACATCAATGGTAAGTAAACTTTTACCTGCTACAGCAGATCTAAAAGAGGGTTCACAATTTTTTTTTTAATTGTAAAAGCTAACATTTTCAAGATTACTTCTTTGAATTCAATTTACAGTAGCTGGCCAGTTTACAAATATTTACACAAAATTAAAGCAGAAGCCCAGCTTATTGTAGCAGTGGTAGGGCTGTGGGGAGTGGGGGGTTGGGGTTTTGGGTTTTTTTGGGGCGTGTTTTTTGGTTTAGTGGTTTGGGGTTTGTTTGTTTTTTGTTTGTTTGGGTTTTTTTAAAGCAGCCATTATTACTACTTCAAATATGTAAAAGGAAGCACTACAAAAGTATCTTGTTTACTCTGTGTGAATATGAACCATTTATATACATCGATTTGTCCTCCTTTGTTTCAACTTTGTAGTAGAACTGTTCCTTGAAAATTCCAGTTTAGATTACAGTTCTTGCTATCCAGAACTCTCCAACTATAATCTAGCTTAATTTTCATAAATCGTTGCCCGCTGTTCCATGAAAAAGGGAAATAAAACTGGAAAGTGCCAAGTTGAGCAAAAGTGCTTACTACAGTTAAGTAGACGTAAAGCACAGACTGTTTATCAAGAAGGGTGTACTGTGCATAATGCCTCAAAGATATAGTCAGACACATTTTTAACTCTGTACATATTTATTTCATCATCAAATTTGTCAGTGATTACAAAGATTACGGAAACAACAAGTCAACATATCCCCATATTTTACTTAAATGGATTTATTATTGTGGCTTGCTGTTTTACTTTCTTCTAGAAGTCAACAACACAAACATTTTCAGAAAACATATTTAAATGAACAGCTGTATTAACAAATGTTAATAAAATATGCAATCTTTCTTATAAACAAACATTTCTTTAACAAAAGTTACAAAGAAAAACATGTCAAAAACACATGGAGTAACTGCCTTTTGACTTTGATACT